CTGAATTAGCAGCTGTCGTGTAAATGGAGCCATAGATAACTTATTAGGCTATTTGCTTAATACACAAAGGTGGCTATGTAAGCATTGAGATGTATCAATATATGTTAACATGGTTCTTCTGCATGCCATGTACTTACACTAATATTAAAGTAGCTTCCCGACAATGGTCTGCATCTTCCTATGTGACTTGCATTAAATATTTTGTTGGTCGTATTGCGCAGTAATGTTTTGTGTTTGAAATTAAAGAATTAGGAACCCAAAACAAATTATTTACAAATCTAAATGTGAATAGTACAGTGTGTCCTACAAATATTCATTTAAGTGACAAGAAAGGGTGGCATAAACACTAAGTAACGCATTATTTTCTAACTGATTCCATGTAGTCCCATGCAGAAGGTTTTATGAAATGAAGTACTCAATGTTGTACAATAATGAAAACGTCAACTTGCAGAACTATATACTGATGACTGGCTTGTTGTGTTCATGCTGGCCCTCTGAAGATACAATTCTCTTAGTGCCACTTCTCTGATTTTTTTCCCCCGTATCCTTCTTATTTACCTTTTCAGAAAATTATTCTGTTACAGTTTGGAATTAATCCTGACTCTGTCACGGCAAGTTGTCCAGTCCAAATCCTAACCATTCACTGCAAAAATACAAACTTCTCCTTATATAACCATTGATCTTTTCACCAATTGCTTTCAATATGTACCCTGTGGATCTCAATCATTTCATCAATGGGAACAGTTTACCTCTGTCTACACTGTCCAAACACTTCACAATCCCAAAGACCCCTACAAAATTTTGTTTCAACCTTCACTTCTGCAGGATAACAGTAGCAACATGTTTAATCTTTCCATGTAACTTAATTTCCTCATCCCTGGAACCGTTTACAGCTATATTTCCTGCTCTCTCTGTAATACATACTGTCACATCTTCTGTTATGATCCCAGCTGATGGTCCTACTGAACAGGTCAGATCCCAGAATGAAATCTGGCCTAGATAGTAGGAACTGCAGATGCCAGCAAATCTGAGATAACAAGGTGTAGAGCTGGATGAACACAGCAGGCCAAGCAGCATCATAGGAGCAGAAAGGCTGACGTTTCGGGCCTAGACCCTTCATCAGAACCGAAATGTCAGACTTCCTGCTCCTATGATGTTGCTTAGCCTGCTGTGTTCATCCAGCTCTACACCTTGTTATCTCATGAAATCTGGCCTGATAGTTTTTTGTTTAGTAAGCATGGTACCCATTCACAGAAACACAGTCACAAGGCCGTGCAGTTTCTTTAACAACAAAAGTTTACTACACAAAGAAGAAATAGACAAATCCAAGATCTCTAAATACTGTGAATAGTTTAGTTAAAAAATTAAAACACACAGCAGAACAAAGTTTTAAACTACTTCACTATGCTATCACTTTACAGAAATTCAAATCCAGACAGGTCACTTGTCTATCTCAAATCTTTAAGTTTGCCTCAACTGATTCATCTCAATTCTTTCCTGTGAATTCTTACATGAATATTCACAACACTGAGAGCTTAGATTTTCTCAGCAGTTAATTATCTGCAAATTTCTGATCAAACACTTCTGGCTTGGAAATTTCACAAACCAATCCTTCTAATAGTGTAGCTTAGTCCCTGAAATGTTCTATTCTCCTTTCTAGGAGAGATTCTATATTGTGCTTTGGACCTCATCAGGTCTCCTCGACGCTACTCAAGCTTTGGGTTTGCTAGGCATTAATCAATCCTTGATTGTCGTGAAACAAAAAACAAACGCACTATTGGCCCACAATGTTTACACTCCCTATCATAAAACCAACACAGTATTAATTGTCTTCTATTAACACTCCATGGGTCCGTTTTGTCTGTCATATATTGGATTTGGCAAATGTTGATCTAGTTTTCTTTCCCCAATCCCTTCAGAAATATATCAGACACCTACGTGACATTAAAAACCAAAAGAACTGCGGATGCTGTAAATCAGGAACAAAAACAAAGTTGCTGGAAAAGCTCAGCAGGTCTGGCAGCATCTGTGGAGGAGAAAACAGAGTTAACGTTTCGG